GAGCCTCTAGTCGGCTTTGCCGGCGAACGGGTCCACACCCGCGGATACGTGGACCTGCTGACAACCTTTGGAACACCTCTGAATACAAGGAGGATCGTGGTCCGATACCTCCTCGTGGAGGCCCCCTACGGGCCTTCATGGAGCGCTTCTCTAACATATCAGTCTGGATCCGGAATCTAAACCCGGAAGTCGCCCTACACGCCATGCTCATGGCACTCAAACTCGGATCGTTCGTCGAAAGCCTGTGTCGCGACCCCCCCTATGGTATGGACGAACTGCGCGCCCGCGCCACTGGCTACATTCAAATGGAGGAGCACGCGGCCTTCCGCGACCAGGTTCGTGGTAAGGGCCCCGCCAAACCAGAACAGGGCCACAAAGACAAGGTTAAAGTCAACAACGACAGCCAATTCAAGAAGTCGGCCAGGACAAACAGAGCCGGGAGGTACGACTTCTACACCCCTCTGAATGCCCCAAGAGTCCACATTCTGGAGGAAGCCAGTAACAGCAACCTGCTAGACCTCCCACCACCCGGCCACACACCAAACAGTGCTAACAAGTCCAAACACTATCGGTATCACAGAAACTATGGCCATACCACAAACGAGTGGCGCACACTCCGGGACCGCATCGAGGAACTCATCCAGGCAGGCCACCCCGGCCACTACATCCACCGACAGCCAGGCTCCCGAGGTGGCCCCGGAGGCCGGGGACGCGGGAGAGGCCGCGGATCAGGAGCTCGCACGGACCTACCCACAGGACCTCAGCAAAACGCCAATGGCGCAGTACAGGCTGAAATAAGCCAGGAGACCAAACCAACCCCCCTGCGAGGAATAATCAACACAATTGCAGGCGGCTTCGCCGGAGGAGGTGCCAGCAGCTCAGCCCGAAAAAGACACCTCCGTAGTATCAACTGCGCCCTTTCCACTGCCTCGATCTCCTACAAGAGCTCACCACCAATCTCTTTCTCCAACGAGGACTACGCGGGGATCAGCCCTAACCAAGATGACCCCATGGTCATCGGGGTAGAAATCGCAAACTGGGAAGTCCAAAAGACACTCATCGACCAAGGGAGCTCGGTCGACGTCCTGTACTGGCCAACATTCCTCAGGCTCGACGTCCCCCATTCTCTAATCCAGCCACACACCGCGCCTCTAGTCGGCTTTGCCGGCGAACGGGTCCACACCCGCGGATACGTGGACCTGCTGACAACCTTTGGAACACCTCTGAATAAGTCTCACATGAAGTTGCATGGATGGTCCTCCATCATCTACATAATTGCGTTTATTATAGTAATATGTAAAATAAAAGAAGAGAATAAAGATAGAACAAGAGATTGATGAGTAATACCTCGTAACAAGCTTTATTGGATCTTCAACTATGGAAGTTTTAGGTGCTTTGTGGCAACCTTTCACACTACAGCATGCCTCACAAATCTTAAGAAATACAGTAGGAGAAAGAGAGAGAAATTTCGAGCTCTAGGGAGTCTTAGACGAAATTTTTGAGATCTTGAGAACTGTGCCCGAGATTTCTATTTATAGGCATTAGATGTGGGCCGAAACAGCCCGTTCTGGATTCGGAACGGCCCATTCCGAATCCGAATGTTATGTGTAAATTTTGAACCCTAGAACGGCCCGTTTTGAAATCAGAACGGCCCGTTCCGGAAACCAGAACGGCCCATTCTGAAATGAGAACGACCCATTCTGAAATGAGAACGACCCGTTCCAAACCAAGCTTTTTAAGCCCTTTGATTGGTTTGGAACGGCCCGTTCCAACATACAAATTTTAGGCCTTTTAGGAGCCTCGGAACGACTTGTTCCAATTCAAGAACGGCCCGTTCCGGACTTGGGAACGACCCGTTCCAATTTTGGAACGGCCCATTTTGGGCCACTAAAAATAGTTAATTTAGAATTTTGGGCCACTAAAAATAGTTAATTTAGAATTTTGGGCCCTCTGATGTCCATCTTGTTGTTTGTATGCCCCCGGACGAAATTAGGTGTCTACAGCTGCCCCTCTTTATTTGTCCTTTGGAATAGCTGTGTTGTTTTTCCAAAGGCAAGTAAAGACGTAGACATTTTGTTCGGGTCTTCTTCTCGTCTCTGTGTTGACGCTTCTATGTTGCTTCCCTTGGATAGGTGTATTTCCTCGTATTATTACCCTTTAGAGCAGCTGAGTGTTGGGTTGCATACTCTATGGGGTAACATGCGTGACAAACTATACATCTGATCTTCAGTCTTCGAGTAGATGCTCCATTATTTTTCTTATGATAGTGTGTCCCTTTATTTATAGCTTGTTTAAGAGGGAGTATTTTTGTAACCTCTCCAGGCTGGACTGATATTTTAAGGCTTTAGTCGGCCTCTTCTAAAGGTAGGTAATCCTCTTTGTTGTTGAAGTATTTTCATAGCCTTTCCAGGTCGTAGTATTTTCATAGCCTCTCCAGGCCCTAGTATTTTCATAGCCTCTCCAGGCCGT